ACAACAAGTACATCCGTGCATATTCAAACGGCATCTTGCAAATAATTTTCCAGTTGGTTACACAAGCGTAGATAAGCCAACACTCAGTGTAAACTTACTTAGACATGAGACAGACGAACAGACAAACAGGAAACAATAAACAACAATATAGGGAAATATAACATAAAGAAAAACTACCCAAACGCTAACATATACATTAAAAGGAAACTCAGGGCCCATTAACCAATTTAAGCATTAGCCTGACTTACGGTAGATATGAGGAGCCTTTGTATTTTTTCGGAATGAGTCACATGACCATGGGCGTGGCGTTATGACGTCATCATTGATGTTACTGATCATGAAACATAAAAAATCTGAACTGACTAAATCGGACGAGGTTATACGATTATAAAATTTCCTTAGCAACGGCTCAAGACTGATCAGTTGCTGTCAAACGTACAAAACCGTAAACACCTAAAATGTCTGGAATGTTTATTGTGCTACAATCACAAACAAGGTCTTCCAGATCTCGCTTGTGATTGGTTATAACACAATAAAGATTCCAAACATTGCAGGTGTTTACAGTTCTGTCAGTTTGACAGTAACTCATTCCAGAAGCACACGGCGATTTACTAGCCCAGGGACCCTAAAGGCATAAAGGAAAAAGACAACGAATAACAAAGGTACACAAACTTAGTGTACAAGAAAAAAAAAACTTGTGTACAATGGTGTTTTGTACACAAAATTGACAACAACGTCTAACATAGACTTTATATAAGCCACAATAGCTAAAAGATCTGTCTAACATAGACTAGTTACATGTAGTTTCCATCTCTCATTTTATGACAAGCTAATACTGTAGTATATTACCATGCATTACCGCCGGACAAAGTGCCAATACTAAATGCCTCATTTCATCGGTTCTAAAGTACATGTACGTTATCTTTTGAATGAAAAAATCCTAAGTGAGTAAAGGCTTATCTCATTTGGTATGCGCCTTTATGACCAATATTATAATGTGTCCCTGCTTCCACAATATGTGTTTTTAGTTAATACAGTAGACAAGTTACTGATACTGTAAGGTTCGAACCATTTACTACCACATAGGACATTTTACAAACTAATACCGGCAAAAATGAACCATGCTTCTGAATAATTTAAGTTTCGAAATTCGTCCCACAGATCTCAAGTAGAATGCAGCAGAATGTACGTCAATGTATCTGGATGTATAAATATGATAAGTATGAATAAAATTAAGAGGTAAAAGTTCACGAGAAAAAGCTCATTGTTAGTTAGTAATAAACTGACCCACAGGTATTTGAAGGACACTAGCTAACACAACTAGTCATCTACATATAAGAAACTCATTTTACTGTACGTAAGCTCCCGGCACAAACCCATTTTAAACCCATCACAGAACTAGTAAAAACTAATGCTCATTATAATTTTCCTAAAGGAATGTTAGGGACACTAGGTTACCGCACAAAGAACACAAAGACCTGTTTTCATTGTAAATGACCTGCATTCTACATCTATGTACAAATGTTTTAAATGAACCCTTTTTAAAGCCATATGCATCTACATGATATTTTCAGATATCCTTTACCCCCAATTTGTGGCTTCCCGGCATTGCAGCACTTTAACGCAACTTACGAGTTACATTTCCAACACTTTTACCCACAGAAGAATAAAAAACCATCTTTAAGCTTCTACATAACAACGTCATATTTCTTCCTAAATGAAGCGAGAATGCTCTCTTATCCAAGATGCAAAGATACGATTCCCCGCCTTTAGCCCCAATTCAGCAATTTCTCCTAGGTACTACACGCATGCATTGAAATAGAAGTACTATTATTTGCACCGAGAGAATTTGGCTTTTTAGTCGAAAGAATTTTAGTCAAGCTGAGAGGTTTTTTCGCTAGGTCTCTGCAAACGAAAGCTGGTCGGAAGATTATTATGGGGTAGCTTAAAGACTTGTCTTTTTATCCTCGTGTCACTAATTTGTAAAGATACATGTACATGTGGTTTTTATTCACTATCATATTGACCCTCTTGAAACAACTCACATAACACCCATACGAAAAAGCTACTTTTATCAGTACAGATGCAAAGATGCCCCCTCTATTTCAAGGAGTTAAAAAAA